CGCGGCCCTGGTCTCTGTCCTGACGGGAGCCCATGGTTGTGTGTCGGAGCGAGTGTCGACCTGTGGGAATGGAGCAGCTCTCAGGGACTTTCCTTTCCTGCTTCTGCTTTTGCAGGGAAGAGAAATCTGGGTGCACATTTATCCATCTTACCCAGGTCCCACCATCACCCTTAAACCTTGCCCCAGCCTCTTAGAGCACCCGCAGCAGAGTCCCACCAAAGCCATAGCCAAAGGACCAGGGAGCACCCAAAGCCACTGGGACAGAGTTATTTTCCTTTCAGCAGCTGGTGACACTTTGGTTTTGATTCTTGCCAGCAGCCATTTACATTTCCCGAGGTTTGCTTTTTGCTCTTTTGCCTGCACCCGTGGCCCAGAGTTTGGTTGGGTTTTGTTTGCCCTTCTCTCTGGACAAGAGGATGGGGGAAGCGAAAGCCCAGGATCCTCTGGCACATGAGCATGGTTGGCTCTCTGAAGTGGAGCCATCTCGCTCCCAAAAGGAGCAGAGCAACACCCACCTCCCACCATGACCAAATTTATGCTCTCTTTCAGCACCAGCACCCCTGGAGCAAGTCCCAACCCAGACCCAGGTGCAGGATTCAGCCCACTCTCAACCCATCCAAGTCCCCATGATATTTTGGTGCTGCACCGAGCCCCAAAGCCCCACGACTTCGCCGCTCTTACCTGAGATGCGAATGGATGAGGAGGGAATGAGGCTGTCCAGGACAGGAGCGCTTTTATACCCTTTCTGCGCACCCCCCCGGAAATGAAGCACCTCCACATCCCCTCTTCATTTAAGTCACCAACAGCTTTTAATCTTTTTTCTCCCCACTCTTTGGGTTTCCTACGTGACTCACCTCACCCGCACTGGGTATCGTCTCCTCTTATCACTCATCTTCGCTGTGCCACAGGAATATTTAATTGCCAACCCTACCTGTGCTCAGCTCCGGTGGGCGAGTGCTGTGGGTGGCTCCAATTTCCACGGCTTTGCTAGTTGGATTTTGGTGTTGATCGCAGCTGGGGAGCCCTTTGCATTTACAGAGGGGAAATAATGTCATATATCTAAATCATACCAAGCTTTTAAAAGGTCTTGAGGTCCTCTAGTCCTATAAATGCCCATAAACCCAGAAATGTGCCTATAAGTCCAATAAGGTCCTTGGCGTGGCAAATAACTCTTTGAGTGGTACAACTGCTCATTTCTGTTGAAACCATTTGAAACGGTGTTGGAGTGGGGAAGAGAGAAAAAAGGCAGCTCCTACAAAACCATTTTTGTCTGTCAAAATGTCCCTGCTGTTGCCAGAAGGACCGAGAGTGGTTGGGATTCTTATTTTTGGAAAGGGGAAGAGCTGCCCTAGGTAGGGATGTGGGATTAGCGAGGTGCGTCATTACGTGGTTGACTTTCAGCCTGTGAGTGACGCTGATGGGTTTTTTCCCAAGTCGCCAGTGGCTTGGGTGCTCCCACATGGAAGGGAAGGGCGCCCATGGGTGCTGTCCTTGGTGACACATGGTGGTCTGGGGTGGCTGCGCGTCGTGGGGAACCCCGGGGACTTTATCCAGCCTTGTAGGAACATTGTTTTTGGAGCACTTTTCCCTGCTCCCCAATTAGCTCATAATTGGCCAACAAATCCGGGTTATTTGGATGGGTGCGCAGAGCCTTCGGGTCAGGTATCGCGTCTGCAGTGAGAGCAAATCACAAGCAATCATGTGGGATTGCACCTTTCCTGTGCCTCTTCTGTGCGGGCGAGGGAGGGCTTAGGACCACAGATCTTGGTTTGCCTTTTCCTGCCACTGTTTGTGAAAGGTGCTTCTGTAATTAAACAGGCAGCAAATAGAGGACTAAAATCAGTATCGTTAACACAAATAGGGAACTGCTGTGATTTTTGTCATACAAAACCCACCGCTCCTGCTGCCCAAAAATTGTCTGAGACCTTTGCTGTTACAGAAACACGGAGGATTTTCGGAAAGGACAGGGCAGGGCTGATGAATGGTACGCAACCTAAATGCTTCATTGTATTGCTTAATTGCTGCTGTGAACTAGAACAGTGTGAGGGCAAACTGTACCCAGGTTTGAGCACTTCTGTTTGATCATGTTTTGTTCTGGCATCAGAAGAAATACGGCAAATACTGTCCTTGAAAAAAGACTTCAAGTAATTCTTGGCTTTCAACACCGTGCTGTATATTCAATGCCTTGTGTTTTCCTTGTTCTGAGTTTGCTAAAGACCAGCAGCACCCAGCCAGGAGTCCTGGGTCCTTCTGGATTTCGCGGCTGCCCTTGAAAATGGGATTTGCAACGGGGCCGTAAGGCAAATGCGACCCTCGCACACCCAACCTTTTCTAAGGACCCCTACCCCAAAAGCTGTTCAGGGAGTTACCTGCTGCCTGCACCCTTTCCAGCAATGCCAGATATTTCTGAGCATTGTGACACACTCGGAAATCATCTTATCAGGGCAACATCTGCTTCATGAACGGCAATACCAAACCGATAAATTACACAATTCGTTTTAATTACCGGCCGCGAAGAAATTTATCAGTTCGTTGTGCAACGCCAGCGTCTTGCAACGCCCCTTGGCTGGGCAGAGGGTTTCTAGAAAGGCTTGCTGGGGGGTTTGCCGCAAGCATGTGGAGATACCTGCCCCCAGGATGGTGCCTTGGGGGCAGATGGCAAAAATGAGAGGTTTCTGCCCCGTGGTTGTGCCCATGGCTGGCCCCAAGGGCTTGTGCAATGCAGAAAGTTTTGGGTCTGAAGCGTTGTGGGAAGGTGGTGTGGAGGAGAGCTGCCTGCGCTGCAGAGCCTCCTAAAGAGACAGAATTTAAACACTTTTATTCTGTCTTTCTTTTCCTTTGGAGTCCATAGAGGAGAGTGTGGCAGTGCCTGCCCCCATTGCTTGTGTTGGGGCAGGGTAACTCCAGGGCTATTAAACGAACCCAGGGTGTCTTGATATGAAATGGTATGAATATCATGATATGAAAAGATATGAATATCATGATATGAAATGTGAAAGAAAACCCATGAACACACAACTCTCATGAACTCCAGTTTATAATGGCTCATACATTGTCAAAGACCCATACAAAGGAAACTGTGCCAGTGTGTACGTACACAGTATTTCTAGCACCAGCAGATAAGCTCAGCAGAGGGACAGGACTCACCAGGGGAGGGAGAGGAGACATTCTCTTTGAAGCTTCCCAGGGGACATGCAAAGCTTTCTGAACTCAGCACGAGATCAAAGACATCGTGTGTATCACAAGACGGGCAAAGCCCTCATCACTTCATCTTTGGTACTTGATAGATCTGCTGCTGGCAATCCGGTGGATTTCCATGGCAGGATCCCTGGCTGCTCCCATGGCATCCAGATCCACCACTGCCTCCATGGCATCCAGATCCACCGCTGCTCCTGTGGCATCCGGATCCACTGCTGCTCCCATGACATCCGGATCTGTTCCCGTGGCATCCGGATCCACTGCTGCTACTGTGACAGCCAGATCCACCGCTGCTCCTGTGGCATCCAGATCCACTGCTGTCTCCGTGGCATCCGGTTCCTCTGCTCCCGTGGCACCCTTCACTGCTGTGGCATGAGGATCGCTCTTGCTGGTGGCACTGGTCCTTGTCCTGACGGGAGCACATCTCTGCAGACCTGGGGGAAAGACCGTCATCTCTGAGGGGGTGTGAAGCCAAGAGGCACCATGATATCTGTCAGCTAGCAGTAATCCATGTTTAGTTAGGTGGGATTATGTATCAAGCATTGATTCTCATCATAAGCCAGGTTTTTGAGGAAAAGAGAAGAACTGACAATACACCCCTGCCCGTCGCAGTCCCTGACCTGCACGATCTTTCTTGGACCAAGTCTTTCCTTTCCTCCCGTGTTTAGCAAATACATAGGACAGAAGTTAAAGCACTCGGTGATCAGTGAGAAGTGGAGGCCAAGCAGAGTCCACAGCAACCCCTGGAGAGTCCTGGCCTCAGGAGTCTGAAGCAGTAAATCTTAACTTTTCCCAGTTGCTTCCTATTATTTATGTGCAGACATGGGAGGAGAAGACAACCCAACCAGAGCAGCTGTCACCAGAGACGGTCACAGAGATGAGAAGCATGGAGGATCAGGACAAAGCTGGTGACCATTAAAGGAGCAGAGGTTTGAGCTGGACTTACCCTGTTTGGTCAAGCTTCGAGAGCAGACGTGAAGCTGAGGGAATGAGAAGAAATGGGGTGCGGGATCTTTTATACGGCGCCCAGTGTTTTTCCTCCGGAAACGAGATGAGCTTGCACTGGAGGGACTTGATGGTTCAGCACCCTGAGGACTTCGTTAATTGGAGAGTTTTTGCACTGCTGTTTTGACTCACGGTATTGCAAGCAGATCAATATCCCGCCTTTGGGATCGCCGTTCCTCTCGTTACTCCATAAAAATGTTAATTGCCCTCCACGCCTGTTATGGTTCACGTGCAGGGATGGGGAGGTTTCTGGATGGTCTCGCTGCCTTCGCCTGAAGCGTTTACCTGTTTCATGGGCCTAATGTAAAGCAGCTGCAAGTGGGCGATGCGAAATGGGAAGGTGGGATAGCAGCGTGGGCTGAAAACCAGAAAATAAAATGGGCTCGATGTTGGCCATCGATCTCTGCCGCTCAATGGGGCTCAGCCCTGGTGGGTCATGAAGGAAACGGAGTTGTCTCTGGGGTCTAAAGCTGTCACCGAGGTCTGGGGTTGAGGGGCGGACGATAGCGATGAAAGACGTCTAAGCAAAATCCTGCTGGATGCGTTCAGTTGGAATGATGGGAGTGGGCAAACGTGGGTGGTGGGACGTGAACTTATTTCTGAGTAAAACAGAAGGAACTTAAAACCCCATAAAGACACAGAGCAACCAAGCAAGAGGCTCAGGAGGGCAAAAGGGCTCCAACAGTGTCCCATCCCCCTGGTACTTGTTCCTAATATCTGCTATTGCTTTCCTTTATTACACTTTGATTTATTAATCCTTGTCTCTGTTGATTTAACTCTCTGCTTTGGGAAGAAAAGCGCACCAGGCCTGATCTCAGCCAGGACTCTAGGGGCCACTGTGATATAAATAATAACACAGATAGAATGAAAATAAAATAGAGTGGAGATTAATTGCTAACCGACGGAGCTGAATCACTAGGACAGAGATACGTGAGGAAATCACAGCGTGTCCCGGGACATTTCACAACTGGCAGAAGAATGAATTATTCACGATGAAGCACTAATTGCACTCTGGATCGCCGGGATGGTGACAAACGTGTTTGTAATTTCTCTCGGCGATAGAGACATCCACCCAAGCACGGTCTGGTGGGGACAGCGCTCACGGGCATGGGACGTCCCACAGGAGCAGCATCGCTTGGGGTGAGACAAGATCTGCCACGCTCGGCATCTCTGGGGGTGTCATGGACCACGGACCAGAGCATTTCTCTTCCACCAACTTGGGCATCTCCTCTCGCCCTGCCCTATCTGTGCCATTCCCATGTACAAATCCACTTCCTGGCTTTTTCCCCCAGGTTTATTTTTGAGGTTTATGATGGAAGTCAAACTGTGCCTCATCAGTGAATGAAATGAAGTGCCAAGCAGACCCTCTCATTTTTAGGTCTGGTGAAGTGCGTGGGTTTTTTTTACAATATTCTTTAATTGCTGGGTCGCATAAAGAATCCGTGATTACACAGAATCACAGAATCACAGAACGTGAGGGACTGGAAGGGACCTCAAAAGCTCATCCAGTCCAATCCCCCTGCCGGAGCAGGAACACCCAGATGAGGTTGCACAGGAAGGCGTCCAGGCGGGTTTTGAATGTCTCCAGAACAGATTAGAACTGTTCGTTCCTTCTCAACAAGGAAGTTGTCTGGGGTGGGAATAAAAAGACACTGGGTTGAATCAACTGGGAACCTTGCTGTGAGGGTGAATGGGGATGCTGCAAACAGCAGCTTTGGCCACAAGAAGGGACAGAAGGAATTCGAAGCAATGAAGGAGAAAACACCAATGCAAAGGGATTATGAACCATCAATTTTTATTGCCTCCACTTCTGTTGTGAAATAAGGAGGTGGAAAGCACTTAATATTTCACAGAGACAGTGGGTTGCATCTTCAAAGCGTGTTACAAGCATAATGTCAGGAATAGCGGAAATCTGTGAGCAACATGGGACACGTCGAAGGGATGACATGGGACGTGCCAAAGGGATGACATGGGACACACCAAAGGGATGATATGGGACGTGCCAAACATCAAGGCAATGCTGCAAGAGTGAGAAGTTTCTCTCTTTCATCTCCTCTTCTCAAGCCCCTTACTTTGTCTTCCGGGCTGGCACTTTGCAGACCTGCTTTTGTTGCTGGCTTGGGATGCACTTTGCTGTGGGGATGCAGCCTTGCTGCACTGGAGGGGGACAGGTCTGCACCGGAGGGGGACAGGTCTGCACCGGGCAGCACTGGGGGATGTACTGCCTTGGTTTGCTGTAGCTCGGCTTCCCACCCTGGTACCCTGACCCCTGGCACGGCTCAGAGCAGACCGACCTCCCGTAGCCTTGGCATCCCCCCGATGACCCATAGCTTTGGCATCCCCTCGATGAGCCATAGCTGTATTTGGGTCTCCTGACGCAGCTCGAACCCCCTCCATGGCATGAACCTGAGGACCCACGGCACGGCTCAGAGCAGACCGACCTCCCGTAGCCTTGGCATCCCCCCGATGACCCATAGCTTTGGCACCCTCCTGACGACCCATAGCTGTACGTGGGCCTCCTGACGCAGCTCGAACCCCCTCCATGGCATGAACCCGAGGACTCATTGCATCTCTCAGAGCAGACAGATCTCCCATAGCCTTGGCAGCCCCCTGACGACCCATAGCTGTACGTGGGTCTCCTGACACAGCTCGAGCTGCCCCCTCCGTGGCACGAGTTGGACGCAGAATAGCCTTGGCATCTCTCGGAGCAGACTGGCTGCCGATAGCCGTAGTAGCGGTAGTTGTGCCCTCTCATGCCTTCGACTCCCTCGCTGTCGCACCCCGAGGAGCAGGTCTCGTAGCCGTAGCAGAAGGGTGTGCGCCGGGTGTCCAGCCAGGACCCCGAGGGATCATACCAGGTTGAGTTCCGGTTGAAGTACGATTCTCTTCCAGAAGAGTAAATCATGTTTTTTTTTTAGGGAAAAAACCTGAAAAACACAGAGTCACATAGGCTTTCATTTCTATCTCCTCCATTTTCTTTTAATTTCCCATAAAGCTGCTTTAGTGAGCCATGCACAGGTCAGCCTTGCTTATGCTGAAAACCTTGATCTAAAAGAAGTTTTTACCGTTGCCCAATACAGGTCAGGTTATGTCCAAACTCTCTTTCCGACCTTACCCTTGCTTTTCACTCCTCTGAGAACAAAACCAGCCCTAAGGCACTGAGCACATGATGACATTGCTGAAAGTCCCATACCCAAGTCCCCCAGTAGCTTCTTTCTTTGCTTAGCGCCGCCGTCCTCTAGCCCTTGTGTGTGGAGCATGGTCTGAAGGACAGTGCAGGCATCCATGACCTCCTGAATCCTGACACCCCTCCAAAAATGAACCCAGCTGCTCCGGGTTGTGTCTTACCCAGTTCAAGAGGGAAGGCAGGCGTTGACCAGGGGAGCAGATTGTGAGAGGCAAAGGGATGGAGGCCTTTTATACGGCTCCAAGTCTCATAAATGGCTCCCCTTGTAAATGAAACACGTTGCAGGAACGAGGAATAAATTATTTCTTGACTAAACATCTCCTCCATTTGGATGCTGTTCCCAGCGCTGCACATGTTCTGCTTGACTCATAATTTCTGATAAGCATCTCTTAATTACAACGTAGTTACTGAGCAGTGCACGTAGAACACTCACACCGTTTAAGCCACACACGGGCTGTGTGAGGCGGGTCATAATGTATTTATTCACCATCTCCAGAGGACCAGGACACTGCATGGAGGCTGATGGGTGACCCGTGAGTCAGGAGCCATGATGCACACAGTGCTGATGTCCTGACCTTTCCCTTCTGCTGCCCATGAGGAGCATCCCCAAGTGCCTGAAGCACAAACAGGCGACTGGGAAGAGCCAGCTCAGAGACACTAAAAGCAGATGGTGCTGATGAGTTTCGATGGTGAAGAGGCTGACTCTGTGGATGGGGCAGTGCAGCATTTGGCAAGGCTTTTGGTGCTGTCTACCACAGCAGCCTTGTGGTTAAACTGGTGAAGTTATGAACTAGACGAGTAAACTACGTGGTGGGTGAAAAACTGGCTGGTACGGGTGCTGTTTAACATCTTCATTAATGCCCTGGGTAATGGGGTGGACTCAGTAAATCTGCAGGTGGCACGGGATTGGGGTGAGAGGCTGAAACTGCTGGAGGATGGGACGTGGGCAGGCTGCAGAAATGGTCCTGTGGTTGGGTTGGACCAACTGGGATGTCTGGACTGGAGAAGAGCATCTTGGGATCCCGAATGGACCAGGGCTGACCTGGTGCTCCCACGCGAGGGCTACGGTGGCCTTGGTCTGTGGGCACTGAGTCAGCACCAGGACGGTGCCTGGGAACCCGCTCCTCCCCAGTGAGCTTTGGGGAGAAGAGGCTGGGAAGAAAATAGCTAATAAAATAAGGGATGTGTGATGTTAAAGTCCATCTGTAAGTGGTTTTTAATTGTTAAATTAATTGTTGTGGTTTTCTGCATTAAGACAATAAGAATGCATTTCTTTTTTTTCCCTTTCTGATTTTCTTTGGTTGTTGGTAGTGGCTGTGAGGACACTCTGGGGCTGGGCTTGGGGAAAGGCAAGA